AAAATATCGTCGTTTTATAAACGCGTTACCTTTAGGCTGCGGATTTATGCAAATTTATGGTAAAGCAAACCGAAGTGTGAAGGTTTTTATCCGAATGGAATTCGTCCTTCAGTAAGATCTTCGCACCGCTGCATGAAGATCCATTGTGTGGCGATCATCAATAAAGTTTTTCATTGCTTCCTTTTAAGATTATGGCATTTAAGATTTAAGCATCCATGGCACATGCAAATATATAAAACGCAATAAAATATACATACTGACAAAAAGTTAATTGTGTTATCATTCCATCATAAGAAACTTCCCTATCCAATTGAAAAAATTTTCCCCTCTTTAGATATTTAGAAAATGATCGATGAAAATGAATATTTTCAAATAAGGGAGCAATCGGAAAGAAGGAAAAATTCAATCGTCCACAGAATAAAGAAGAGACCAATATTTTTCGTTAGTTAAAATTTTCGTCGTTAGCGAAAGGGATACCGTAGTTTTCGTAGCATGTTACGTTACACCTTCAGTTTAATCTGGATCTCATCCGATTCTTTAGAATTAGCCGAGCTTTCATCGCGTCTCCTCGCGGTAACCAGCTTACACTGCTCCATTTAATACTTGAGCCACGCATCTTCTTCCGCCCTCGCATACGAGGCCAGCGTGCATCAACCCCTTCTGACACCTACATGCTTTGAAACTTTGGTTAATGCGCCGCGATGCAACAGGGTCTTAAGAAAGTTGACATTTGTCTAGTCAATTTTCAACGGATTAGAAAGTTTCCGTGTAAAGTGCTCGAGTTAAGAACTTTATGTATTTCTGCTCGGCTGTACAGCGTCAACGTCGCAACGACACAGCAAAAAAAGATATTAATTGTTAGACAAACACGAAAAACATTTCACGCTTCAAATTAAAATATTTCACCGGGTCGTACGCGTCTCGCAGTGTCGTGTCTCGTTTGAATGATTCGTTCGTAAACTCGCAATTGAATTTCTTTCATTAGCTGGCCCGAAGCTCGTACATTGAAGTCGAAATTTTAGGTTTGCCGAGCTCTGGCTAAAATATCCTAAAAAACGGCGTGTATCGTTTCATTGAAATGAGTCTCGATTTTTATGGAAGAAAAAATAATCGTCGTAGTTTTGCAGAGCGGCAATTTATTCGCCATTCAAAACCGGCAAACTTTTGTGTACAGATTTTTTTCCGCGGACCATCGGAAGCACGTAAAAAATCGTAGCCTCCGGTAGGATGAATACCCGGTATAATTTCGGTCTAAAGAGGAGGAAGCTCCTTTTTTTTCTCTCGTAGATGCGCTTAATATATGTATGTACAGTCGCTCTGACTGAAAATTGTCCGCGACTCGTGCTAACGCATCGGTCACCGTGAAATGTACTGCATTACTGGCGTCCTAACGGAAGTTCCAAATTAATGTTTTTTATTTCAGCTTTCGGCGATGTTGAATTCCCATCGTCCATGCAGGAACATGTTCTTGCAAATTAATATTGAACGATAAAGAACCGAAATTAATATTTTTTATTTTAGCTGTCAACGATGCTGAATTTCCTTTTTCCATAGAAAAACACGCGCTTGCAGAATGCTATGGTACGATAAATACAGTAAATTCTCCCTAATTAACGCTCAGATTGTACAAAAAAATGGACAATCTGGGAAGAGGAGATACGATTATTCGAACCTCGGAGCTCGTTTTTATAGTTACCGATTGCCAACAATTATAAAAACGAGCCGCGAGACTCGAATAATCGTATCTGAGCGTTAATTAGGGAGAACTTACTGTAACTCGTATAAATAGCATACTACGTATTCTTTCAATATGCAATGTATAACCATTGATTTAAACGTTAGAGTAAGATTTCAGTAAAATGTTATTCAGTGTAACAAAACAGCCAGAAGAATAGAAATGATACAATTCTGCTGGACGTATTTCAAACGTACCATAAACAGATCATAGAAGAGAAACCGACGATGAGTCAGAAACCGTAAGTTATAATTGTGTAAGAGGAATAGAAGTGTCTCAGGGTAAAGAAACCCACGATGTGTTTTATACTGACAGATCAAGGTTACGATCCAGAATCCACAATGCAGAATCATCGTTGAATGCTACGGGCTGTTTCATAACGTTTGCTCA